CTCCCCATCGTTACCAAGATACCGCAAGATCCACGCAGCCTGGCGCTCCTTCGGCCATATTCGTGCTTAGAATTCCTTATTAGGCCGTCGACACCCATCACCTGCATTAATGCGTTTATCGATAAGCCGCAACATCTATCAATCTCGCTTCTGCCTGCCATTGGTATTACACTTCACAATTCTCGATCTCGTTTCTTCTTTCGTCTTCCCATCTTTTTTTCAGTCATTTTTTTTAATTCAAAGGTCATTCATATGTGAGAGCTTGAATTGGTGTCGAAATCGCTAGACATTATCTCCAGATCGCCTTCAGGAATCCCAACTAGTAACTTTAATTTAAATATGTTATCCTCACCTAATCCTTACTATCCTTTAGTCTTACCCTTGAATTTTTATCTTATCTTCAGCTATCATTTTATCACACCAGCTTTTTTCCCAATTCACATCAGTTCTTCATCATTCTTTACCGACAAACGCAGAAAATTAGTGACTCAACGCATTCATTTATTTGTTTACTCATTTATCGGCATCTACGCTGATTTATGGGCAAAACGCTTAACCCTAGCCTAATCCTCGAACACGTAACTTCTGCCTTTCGGGCTTATGCGCTAACCATTACGCTGTCTATGTCAGTATCTAACATTGAAGCCAAGATCAGAAATGAGTTTCTTTGAGGGGGAGAGGGCGGAAGTGGTGTAGTGCAAGTGGCGCGCTCACCACGCGAGCGGTCCGGGGATCAAATCCTGGGTCGTGAGTCGCCCGGGCCAACCAAGCCTTCCATCCCTCCGGGGTCGGTTAATTGGTACCAGACTTGTCTGGGAGGATAAAAACACTGACTTGTACATCGGCTGGCCCCCGCAAGTCATTGTATAGGCCACATCGCATTCAAACGCCACTACGAATGTACAAATGGAAGTAGAATGCGTGCCGCATCCCAAAAAGGGATTGATCAACGGCAAATGCTTTATCCTTTATCCTTTATATGTGGATTAGGTGAACGATATTTGGAAAAAAGTGCTCTCTCATGACACTTAAAGGAGAATCTTACGATAAGAACGAAGGTGAAAGAAGAGGAAAATTGCATAGTTGGGAGACAGGCGGACCTCCTGAGAGTGCGAACCGGACGCCGCAGTTAACAGCGAAAGGTTCACCTTGGCGAGCTAGCATGGCTCACTCTTGGCGCGGTTGGCGGGTACGCCCACCGAATACTAATCGCTCGTCGCAGGTCTATAGGTGGCGATTGATTAGATATCAGAGAAGCGTAGTAACGGGCAAGGAAGGGGTCTCATTTCTCGGGCTTAGGGCCTTCTTGAATGGCTGGCTTTTCCATACCGGCCCTCACTGAAACTCTGCCATTTCCAAGAGCTAAACTTTTTATCGTGATTATGCCTTCGAAGAGCACTCAGAAGCAATTTAAATCAGTTATATAAAAACATAATATACAATTCTATGAGGCTTGATAAAATACTCTACCACAAAGGAGAATAATTATTCTGTTGCTTGAAGTTTGTCACGCTGTACGACCACGAGGTATCGGCTTGATCAGATTGCCGTTTGGTGTATCGGATCATCGCTCGGGACCATACCTACCGAATCTGTACATAGCAGGCAATAAAATCTATCACAGGGTACGCGAATTCATGTCGAATGTGGAGTTTACCCCCTCTTATCTCATCCTACTCTGGATTTTCCAGTACATTCTTCGTTTTGTGCAAAAAATTAAAGAGTGTGACTTTAGACACAGTCGATACCTGATGTCTCTCTGCCTGGCCAGGACAAGGACTTCTCCGGTCACGCTCAGCTGAATCCGTTCACGCACATGACTGGCGTTGGGGTTGATCTCGATCTTGGCGACTCCTGGGGCGCAGGATATGCTCTGCAAGGCGTCAATTTCTTAGGTAAGCAACGTTTTCAAATTATCGCTTCTGCTCGGCCACCACTGGGAGTACGTCAGCTACTATACATCGCTCGTTGCCTACCGTAAGTTTCTTCAAAAGGGCGGCACCAGCTATCCCTCCACTTCACTGATGCTTTCCAAAATAGCCAGGAAACACCAGGAAGTCCCCCATGCCTTTCACGAATGAAGAAGACTGGTTTGGCTAAGGCTACTGTTTGCTGAATGGCGAAGAATTCCACCGCTGTAGTCCACGTTTGGGTGAGCTTTACGTCACGAAGAAGGGCCGCGACGATACGACCTTGTTCCCATCTTGACGAGGCTCCGATACGACCGTCTTCTATCAACCGCATATCCCGATTTGTAATAGCAAGTGGTGATTCTAGAGGCATACGGGGAAGAGCTGATGGCAAATTGCGCCGCCGCAATGGGATATGTGGATTCACCAGTGAATCACCACTAGCTACTCCTACCTTCCTACAATCGCTTATTGACGCCAGACTAATCTGGAGGCATACAACACATGTCTGAGAAATGGATACACCCGATGAATTCTCCAAGTGGTTCTAGCAAGACATTCGTATTATCGAAGTACTAAGCGCCATTTACACCCACATGGTGACCACGAGTGCAGATTAGTGGCGCATTTTACGTTGAAGAGGCAGTCCATTGGAATTAATTAGAAGATGGCTCAGTGATTGCGAAGAAGAACGGAGAAATGGGGGCGAGAACCGGAAGTGGTAACTCTTCCTTTCGCCGTTGATTGCGCATTGCGTGTTACCCTTGTCGGTGATCTGCCCGCGGTTCAACGCTAACACTCTTGTCTCTCTCTGCTGACGGGCTAGAGATTTCAGACGCTGAGGGACGACAGAGAGGGGCGGACCTCGCCTTAGTAGTGCGTAAGTTGCGCCTTCGGGAAGTTCCTTCTATCAAGCTGAAGCTGAACTTATAAAAAATATTGTTACCTCTAACTTACAGAAGTTTTTCTTCACGCTTTTTACCCATGCTATAACTCAGGTTTGGATCTTCGCAAACACTATCGGCAGTACGCGCAAATGCCCCATCTCTTCACCGATGGTATGCACCAACCTTTTCAAGTGAGCTGTCAGCAGTTTTGCAGAGTTTTGTAAATGTTTCTCATTGTCATTGTGGAGTCGATTCCTATCAATTGAATTCAAAATTCACGACGACGCCCCTTTTCACTCTCAGTTTTGCTGGGACGGACGCGATTTTGTAGGGCCGCCGAATTAAGCGAGCATTTATCACTTTCCCCGTGAAGGAATTTGAAAGCATTTTCACACTCGATTACGAGGTTTGCCCACCTATCTGTCCATTCCTAGCGCCTGGCAAGCGATTATCAGTTGGCAGCCCATATGGGCTGCCATCGTCCCAGGAGCGCATGTTGTTGGCAGCCCATATGGGCGGCCATCGGCGTGAATGTGTTAAAGTGTGGATTTGTGTGAAAAACCGGTGCCCATCGCTGAAGGTAAATGGTGGTCAAACGCGAGGTGTAGTTGAAGGAACATTACGAAGTTAAACGACTTAAAGGACGAATTCACGATGAAAAAGCAACCCATTTCAAATTAACCTAGGGATGGTGAGTGGTACACGAAAGAAGGAAGAACCATGAGAAACGGCCCAGAACCCGAGAAATGGTACCCCTTCCTTGCCCGTTGATTTGAGCATTGATGCGACTCTCATCGCTGTGCCCTCTTCAACACTACGCTCTCTCAGCTATCTAATCACTCGCCACGTATAGACCTGCGGCGAGTGATTAGATGATCGGTGGGCGTACCCGCCAACCGCGCCAAGATTGAGCCTTGCTAGGTCGCCGAGGTCAACTCCTTCGGTGCCAATTGCGCGTCAGTCCGCACCCTCTTAGGAGGTCCGCGGGTCCCTCAACTAGGTGAATTACTCCTTCTTCGACCTTCATTCTAATCGTGAATTCGTCCTTTAAGGACGAGAAATGGGACTTTTTTGCCCATTGATTTCTGCATTGGACGAATCAGCTACCAAGATGAGCTTGTGCAAACTCCTCTAGGCGATCTCGGGTTAACAAAAACTTTCTTTCGTTGATGACGCATTGCATATGCAAGCTAGAGTGTACGGCCTCTTGAGCTGAAACGCTTTTTAATAAAGAGCAAAATATAACGAAAAGCATCCAAACGATCATAGCCCGAGTCATGCACTTGGAGTTGGGCTTCGCCACCGGCTTTCACCACGGTTAGGGTGTCCTAGATGTGATGGGAGCTCCCTTATCGCGATACAAGCCTCTTTCCGACTTCTTGGAAGCCCGGCGTTTCTTTAAAGTCGGCATAACTACCTTTCTTCCATACCAATTTATCGTAACATCCGCCTTTAATGTTGTCAAAATCTTGGGCTGCATGGCTAGAATTCTATGCGTGTGTCCTTTCTTCCGCTCTGCAGTAGGGAGGCGTCTGCACCCTTGTTGGTTACGAAGAGCTCTACAATATCTATTTTCCGCTCAGAATTCGTTCATTATTGGCGCTGAGGTGGATCCGTCAAAATATGTGAGCACAGCGTCGGCACTGGACGTGCCAATCCCTGGACTGAATGAGGTACTGAGCTCTTCACGGTTTTCGTTTGATCTCGAAACGACAGATGAGTTGCTGAATTATAGGAAATGTTGCAGGTTTTTGACTTCCAAGAAGAAACTCTTATAAAGCGTGATGAAGAATTAATTGACATCCGTCACACGAGATTCTCTTTGCCGATACCTGGCACTGACCAGCGGCTTCCATTCAAGGTACATCTTTTCAAGAAAGGTTTGTTAATAGTACTTCGGTGGGCTTAGGCGATTCAACAGGCCCAACAGCTAAATTTTTGCACTATTTTACACTTTTACTACGCCCACTCCTCAAGATACCTGAGCTCGGATTCTTGGATCAAATTCGTCCTGGAATTTGCGAGCAAACCTTGCCTCAGGCGGTAATTGGACTCGCTACAATCACGAATATAATACCGTTTAGAGCGAAAACGCTTGGCGCCCGCGCCACAGGCGCCGGCGCTATCACAACAGTTTTGCGCGGGCGCTCGTAGCGCAGGCTACAGGTTCACTCGTAACAAACTGATGTGATAATCATATTCTACGGGTCAAAATACCTCTGAGGACAACTTTCCAGCGAATTTGGGGATCCGAGATGTTCTGGCGCCTTTTGGCGCCGGCGCTTCTGACGCGAGCGCCAGGCGTTCTAGCGGTAAACAAATGTGATATTCGTGTTCTACGGGTCGAATTACCCCCGAAGACAAGTTTCTGGCCAAATTCACAGTCAATGACCAATTTCGATAAAAATCCGGCTCAGTTCTCGAGGAGGGGCAGTAAAGGGTAAATAGTGCCTAATTATCTTCTATTGAATAAAAAATACGACAAGTACTATCACATACTCCCATAACAGCATTAGGCGAAAAACTGTTACGCCTCTCAAACTGTTGCAAGAATGCTGTTGCCTGGTAGAAATAATACAGCACTCCTCCAAATGTGCTAGTGCAGTGAGGGTGCTGTGCAGAAAAGGCGACGACTAGCGGTGTGAGCCGAAGGGTGACCAGGCCCCGGTGTTCGTGGAATCAGTAAAGATTTCGGAAATCCACACAGTTTTGACCCTGCTTAACAGTCATGCTACCTAGTAAAGGGGTAATCGAGGGGGAGCGCGGATGGGCGTCGACCGAAGTTCCATCTCTACCAACAGGCGATGATGACTGGACCCAAACATTCAAGTAAATTGAACCTGCTACTAACCTAGTTTAATGTATTGTTATTTCTTCGTTACCGATAATAAAATAATAATAACCTGCCCTCAACAGTGACTTTGCATATCACTTTCCTTCCTCATGTCTCTTTGCGTGAACTGCTCCTCACTGGCAATAATTCTTTTACAGGCACATTTATTCGAACGCTTCAACGATGTCAATTTGAACTTCGCTCACGTCTTGCCAAGTATAAACACTCATCGCGTTAGAACTGATGATATTGTCGACGAACTCGTATCAAATAGAGCAAATCCTACACTCGTCGGCTGAATATTAAAGTTGCTTTGTTCAAGAATGCGGTCCCTTTTAATAAATTAATAATAAGTGTAAAGTTGCTTACAGAAACTGTTGAAGTATTGAAACAAAGGCAATAAAAGCTCCATATACTTGACCTGTCATAATAATCACTAGCATCGTGTTGTGGGCTCCATCTTGTTTCTTTGTGGAGAAAGGCAAACTGTTGACATTCAGTAAATATTTCGTTTGTGTCTATCGCGTGCGTAAAATATCCACACTAATGGAACTTTGGGCCACACAAGCCATTCCCGCATATTTCAAGCTTGCTTCATTTTCCACCTAGCACATCATACTACAGGAGTTTGAGTTGTGAATGGCAGAGGTAAGTCAAACAATGCTAGTTGAGGCCCAAGGCAATCGTTGACCCCACAAAAAACACGTCTTGAAGCGGCCACGATAAAGGCAAAAATTTGGCGTAAAGTGTGGTGTAGTGTTTGCATTTCTCTACGTCCTACCACTCAGTAATCTACGCCCGAATCTGCATCAAATTTCATTTTGAGGTTCTTTTGGTTTATTAGATACGTTATACGTGATCGTTGTCGTTTTGTATGTTCTGGTTTCCATTCTGTATGTGCAATTATTCCCTTTGCTTTGTTCGCTCGTAATATTGCAAATTGAGGGCGGGTTTTTGTTATGACAGCTTCTTTGGTGGGAGCTGATGGAATTAAAAATTTGAAAATTGAGGTTAAACTTCTTCGTTACATAGACTGAAGAGCTATCGCTTGAATGTCGACGAATAGAGGGAAACTGTGATCCTTCACATTTCCTAACATCCCATCACAAAGGAAGAAGACGACTGTGGTTATCGTCGAAGTTTGAGTTTTGTCAGTGGAGCAATTGACCGCCGTCGTTACCCGACGTTAGCAAAAGCTGGCAGCAAAGTGTCAGGGCAGTCTCACTGCTATTGCTTGACTTCTTCGCGCTGGCAACTATTCTCCGGGATTGCCAATGTTGCCGAATATGACCGCTGCAATAGTCGCTCGTACAGTTTTGGCAAGGCCACTTGTTAAAATTGATTAGGGTGGTGGAAGCTGAGTGTATAAACAAACGAAGAGAAACGTCACAGGATTTATTGGGTTGGAGCATAATATCGTAGCGCTTGTATTTTTCATTTCTTCACACAAACATTTGAAGCAAAAAAGGGTCCAGGTTCGGTTCTTGGAAACTGGGATTTTGGTAGTTGGTGGTTGTTTTTTTAAAAAAACACATATATCCAAATGTTTTTTTTGTTAAAACAGTAGGCGCTTGTAGTTTTTATTTTTTCCACAAACTTTGAGACCAAAAAGACAACCGAGCACACTATCCAGTGTCTTGCTTGTATTATTTTACAACTGCGGACTGATTTTCGCACGAGATCACCGGACGTAGAATTTCAAAAAATATTGAGCTTACTTTCGGGGTCCTTCTTATTCTCAATTTGTACGAAATTAATAGGGTTCTGACTTAGGCGTAATATGTGGGGTCGGATAGAGCATACTTTGTATAGGAGACATTATACGAAGAATTCGAGAAATAGCAGCTGTCGAAACGCCGATTTTTGCCGTCTGGATTTTCCAACTTCTAAGCTCTATAACTGAGTACAACTACAATTGTTGAAGAAAATGACAACACGGTTTTGTAGAGCGGAAGAGTACTTTCAAATATATGAGCAGTTTTTTGGAGGATACTTGTACTGACTGGATTTGTACGCTCAAAAAAAAACGCTACGATATTATGCTCCAACCCAATAGTTAGCAGCGCAACAAATGATCAACATGAATACTCAGTAAATCTAGTCATTTTCGGGGTTCGGAAGTCGCTAAGCAGGATTACCCCTTCTGTTGTTATTGAGGAGTCGGCTATTGTTGTGCACAACACCACCAGAACATCGTTTTATGCACCAACGATATAATATCATCATGAACGCTGTTTTCAATCCCCAACGATGTTCTCCGTTGGAAGTTTTTCTTTTTTTCGCAACAGTAAGGCGGTTGCGGAACGGTCTGCTTTTTTCTGGGTGACCTAACTTTGATGAGTGAATTACTCAAGAGACAAACCGTCGTGTGAAGGAGTTTCTGATTTTGTTGGCCTTATTACTCATCGTAATATTATCTTGCTATATGTAATTGCTAAGCGGTTGTATGTGCATGTCTGACCGGAAATTCGTAACTTCGCTCGGTGGTGTTAGGAAGTAAACATCTCCCATCACGGTGCCGTTTTCGAATTTATGATGCGCTCATACTAGCAATAGTTCAGGTGGCAGGATGTTGATGATTGGTGATAGGGCTCTGGGTCTTTTTTAGCACCCGAAGGCGTGGCCGCGGTGAGCGTTGACAGTCGGTTGTGCTTCCGCTGTTGCGGGTGGCTGCGTTGAGGCTTCCTTAGAGAAGCACGCGAACTGTGCCGGAACCAGCCGACTGGTCCGCACTCGCCGCGGCCGCACTTTTGAGTGTCAAAAGTCTCTTAGCCGGGTAACAGAAGATGGTAATGATCGATGGAGGCTTTGCCTATGAATTTGAAACGAACGCCTAATCAGACTTCGATAAATGGACTGTAGCAAATGCATATATCGCATTTCTAACCTCTTAAAAAATCAAATGTTATTGAGACGCAAAACCACATAAAC